TAGGGAAAGAAATGGAATTTCACAAAATCCACTGTGCATAGTAGGAACAATCACAGTTGTAGTCTCAAGCTGTTAAATATTCCTACTATGTTTCCATTTCTCCTCCTCTTTGCACTTGTATTTGCATGGGACATGTGCAGTGTTGGTGCCTTCCTTTCACTGTCTCACAACAGATGCTTCACTGAGCTATGCATGCTCTTTAACTCTGTGAGTGCGTTTGTATTGCAGACTGCAGAATAGTCTAGACATATGCCAGCTTCCATAGGTATCAGAAGAAGCAAAAGAGAAATCCTTTTAGAGTGATTTATCTAGTTGATGGTTATAGTTCATCAACAGAGAAGTGTGATGTCTCCTCCAAGTGGGGTAACCCATTGTGTTCCTTATTGCTGAGGTTTGTTTTACCTAGTGTCTCAATGCTATGCATTTTTTGTTTTAATTTTGTGTTATTTTGTTTAAGTGAGACTGATTTTTGAGGCAGATGTTTGGAAGAGACTGTGCTTGAGCGAGGTGCTTGTCACATAAATCCCACTTTACGTAAATATATGCTTGTGCGAATGTATGTGTGTGTGGATAGATGTATGTATTAGTATTCTGAGGGGGGAAATAGTATGATCATGTCTCAAATTAATCAGTCATGTATTGTCTTCCAGCTTTATATACAAATAGTACTTTACAAAGGAAAATCCAAAATGTGCTAATTAAAATAACACGTAAGTAAACAGATTGATGGAAGTTTCATTGGAGATAGGAATCCATGCTTTGATATCCATTGAGATATGTTAGGAATACTTACACTTTTTTCTTAGTCAAGATTTTAGTTGTAAACCAACAGTGTGCCTCCTTTATAGGTGTCACCGTGCTGCTGCCTCACCATCCCAGCACACTGGCTTCTGCTTGGTTAGCTTGAGGGAGCCTTCATGGGTTACTGCCATTGCATCTGGCTCTCTTCCTTGGACAGGTCCTGTTTGTTATTCACAGAGTGGAACTTAAACTCGGCCTGCACTAGTAGCCACTGCCTCCCTCCCTCACGGTTGCAGTTCTCCCAGAACTGAAGTGTGCTTTTCCACAATTCTTGCATTTCGAGCTGATGGTTCACCACTTCATGTACCCATGACCAGGAAAGCCTACAGATATACCAGCTTTTCAAACTTTCAAGAAAGGTGTATTTTTACTTCTGCTAGCACAGTAAAATAAACAGATCTAGACAGTAATAATAAATAAAAAAATTACCCCAGTTCATTTCCATGCCTGAAATCAATTAAAACTTTTGAGTATTCTTTGGGTCCTGGTAGCAGTAGGAACCACCTTTTTCAAAGGTGGCATGTATTTTGGAGAATAACATTTTTCTTCCTTCTTTCTAATCCAGCCTTAGACCTCCAAGGGGCAGCATTTGCCCTTTTGTTTATTACATCTGGTCTTCTCTGTTACATGACTTTATTAATGTTGCTAGGTTGTCAGTTTAATTAGCAATTCTGTATTTACTGAGGGCTATACTTGACAAACAAGTTTGCTTTAGGCAATCAGAAGCAATCCAGCTAAGCGAAGGCCCGTCCCAAGTTTTGACAGAGAACTCTGGCAGATTTGAGGTTTTCTCTTACTATTTCATTCTGGTTTAATTTCAGTGTGGGCACAGAAGGCAGCTGATAAACCTTTTGAAGTAGTGTGTGCAACCTAATCCAGCTACTCAGCAAAAATACCTAACAAGAAACAAAATCCTTAAACAGGATGTTTCCCAGCTACTCAGTTTTTCAGTTGTGATTTTGCTCACGTTGGTATAATACAATTTTTACTGTTGTATTATTTATTAGCATCTTATGTACTGATATTTTTAACTTTTGTAAATAAAGTAGTAGACAAACCTGGGGGGGGAAAAAAAAGAGTGGTACTATCACAAACATCAGAAAGGTCAACATTTGTCTGGGTGCCAAGGGTATGCATGTTGGGAGATGAGAATGCAATTGAGTTATTACTCGTGTGTGACAGCCTGAGTCAAGCTTCTGTAGCTGGCCATATGCACATGCCATAATTGCCCAGTTGAACAAATCAGTTTGAACAACTAATTAACCTGTGTGTAATTCATCCAGGATGTTAAAGGTGTCTAACCACACAGCTGTGGTGCATTTCATAGGTATGTACAGGCAGTTAGGCAACTCAGCTGACAAAGAGTAGCGGGTCAACCAATGCCAATGTATTTAACTCATGCCTTGACTGTTGATATTCATTAGTTGTCAATATTAAAGATAAAACATTTCATGCTTTTCAGTTTCTTCACAGTTTGTCACTGACATCACTGAAAATCTTTAAAGAAAAGGTCATCAAGACAGTAAAATATTTTTCAGTATAAATACGTAAGTTGAAGCATTATATGCTCGATTGTACAGGGTTGGATGCAATATAAATAAATGTATGTTACTCACTTTCACGTCTTTAGAAGTATCAGCTGTTTGTACAACCAATTATTGAACTATTGTTCATGGACACTTTGCAAATCAGTGCATTAAGACTGAAGAGTTATTTGAGGAGAATTTTTTAAAGTGTGTAACTGGTTTAGAAGCACTGGTCCTTTTAGTTTCTACCAAAACTCGTGCTTGTGGGTGTGTTACGTATTTTTAAAATGTTCTCCCTTCATAGGTTGTTATGTTGAACATTCTATTGTGAGCTTAATCTTGCCCAACAACTATTGTTCTGGATTGGTTATTTGTTTGGAAATGCCTATAAATACGTAGAATGCAAAAATAATTTATTTTCCAAATATTTAACAAACTTTTTGTTATGAAAATTGTCTCTCACCTACTAAACAATAACAACTAATAAAAACTCTTCAAATATTTCTCCACTGTTTTGTAACTTGGGCAAGGTGCGTGGGAGGAGTGGAATTTTGCTATTTCATTCCAACTTTCTAAGTAAATTGCACAATTTTAATGTTTTAAAAATGGAACAATTTTTAAATTGGAAAGTAAAAAGTTTTGGTCTTTGTGCTGAGAAGAGAGCATGTTGGAAAGATTTTTCTTTCTTAGGAAAGCACAGGATTGTTAAATGGGCAAGTGCACCAACTTTAACTAAAGACAAGTGATTAAAGATGATCATCCCACTGAAAGTCTTCCTCCAGAATCACTCTAATTGCTCATTCTGCACATCTCCTTTTCGTTTGTCTATGTGGATTTTCTCATTTCCCTGCTCTCTGTGAAGAAGTACAGTCCAACTGCTCTCGGACAGCTCTCAGACACTTTTGGAGACCTTGTTTCCTTCATAAAAGATCCTTAATGTCTTTGTATTTGACAGAGTCCTTCACATTCACTCATTCCACACCTTCACAGGGAAAGTGCCATCCTTGTGAAAGACTAGAAATTAAGAAAAGGGGACAACTAGTTGTCAAACTGAGAACAGGAGCTGGTCTTTCTTACAACTTTAGAATTTTTTTTTATAACTTCAGTTAAAAATTACCACATTTTTCAGGTCTTGGAGTTTGGGTTTAATTTTTAATGCATGTATTGTTCAGGTGGTTAACACATCTGTGGGCCACAGCCTTTCCTGAAAGTTAATAATATGCAGGTTGGAAGAGGTGTCCTAGAGCTGCTGTGGAGCAGAGGGCAGTGGTTTCCTTTCAAAAAGAAACTCCCACTTGGAGGCTGTGGAGTGGTGCTGTGTCTGGTGGATGAGGCTTCGGGTGTCAGCCTCAGAGGCTTCAGTGAAATCTTCAGCCTCATCTAAGTCCTAGAGGGGTGTACCCTGATTGTAGCTACACACATGGGTTCAGTCACTTAACAGCTCAGTTGTCTCGGGCAATTGCTGTGTTGAAATGGCTTCCTACATTTAGACACAGTTCAGGAAACAGCCCAAGACATTGTGTGCTTTAAATAAAAGCAAGAACTAAATTATCATTTAGGTCCCTTCCAACCCAAACCATTCTGTGATTCTAGAAAACCTGTTCTGTTTGACCTGACTCCTGTGTCATACATTTGCTATCCTGGGTGCATGCAACACAAGAAAACAGAACTCACTCAAGACTTCATGGAACTTGGACTGAGTGCTAGGAAAGGGGAAAATCTTCCTTAGAAAATGTTTCTTAAGGGGGGCAAGTAAAGAGGAGCTGCCCAGAGGTCTGGCCTCCTTTTGCCTGAACAGGAGCTGCTGAAAGACTGCTGACAGGACATGTCTTGCTCAAAGGGACGCTGTGCTCTGGAAGTGACAGCCCTGTTCATCCCCCCTGAAGGGAAGGGTCTTAGGATGCCAGCCATTACCTCTTTAAATCACTCTTTTGAACACTTCTATGTGAGGATAAGGAAATAGTGGGAGTTCCTCTCTGGAGGATTGTCTAGACTTATGTGGGGAAGAAAAGAACAGTTTCCCACAAGGATACAAGGCAGAAAATGGTGGTCAATGCTTCAAGTATTGTGGCAAAATAAATGGAATTTAGGTTATAGCTTTGATGAAATTCCAGGATGAAATTCAAGTTTATAGTTACAGTGATGCAGCTGGATAGAAAGGTTTTGCCTGTGTGCATGGCAAGGACACATAGTTGTTAAATGACTTCCTGGTCCAGGGGCTCTCCAGGAAGTCATTTAGCTAATCACTGCATAGCTTCAACAAACAGATGCATCTGCAAAGTAGTAGCTCACTGAAATTTAGGGTACCTTGACAATAAGGAGATCAACTGATCTGCCAGCCAATTCACAACAAACCAACCAATTGCTGCAGCTCTTCCAGCAGCTGGGGCTGTGCCAGAGGTTTCCTCAGGGAGCTCCTGCTCCTATGCAGCAGGTCTGCTCTGTAGCTGATAGACACTGTCTGTATGTACAGATACATTGCTCAGCACTTGGGGTGAAGAATCCAATAGACAGCCAGGGATTTCCCC